ACACTTATTAAGATGAATTTGACATAATTCTGAAAGAAATCAAAGCACTCATAATTACCTAAATATTAGTACTTTTAGAGAAAGTTAACTGTGTTATGAAAGGCAGAATCTTATTAAGATACCTGGAAAGACTTTCCTCAAATTACCTTTGGTGATCAACTAACACTTGTGTTGACCTTTGTGAGTGTCATTGATCTAAATATGGAACAAAGAAAGGTTGATGTATGTTGACAGCTGGGACTCTATTCAACGGAAATAAATTGCTATTCACAACTCTTCATTTTAGGCAAAGATTCTCTGAATATTTTTGTATGACAATGTAACTTCCATCATTGTCTTCCTACTGAATAGATGTGATGACATAAAATAATCAAAGAGGTTTGTTTGCTGGGTAATATGCAGTTCATATATCTGACAATTATCAGTGTGAAACATAACCAGAAAAACATGTGCTCCAGGTCTAGATTTTTCATGCAATGCTAAATCTGTCTTCAATTCTTGCATAAACATATGTATGGATATACAGAATCAGGGGACCGCAGATACGATTAAGTAGGTGATGCCCCTATTAAATAAGGAAATAGATTAGAAACCGGCTGTTGGTTGACATTTAAATACGACTTTATTATCAAAATTTCTTTTTCTGTATGCGTGGAGGGGGAAAATGAGCAGAAAGACCAATATGGCCATTCTTATTTTTAAGAAACAGCTCACAAAAGCAAAAGATAAACATTTGTTTGTGAGACCTTCTGCTACATAGGACAATAAAATGTTCTGGGTCCACCACTGCTCAGAGATTTTAGTTATTCAAGTAATGTGCACCCTGAGCTGCAAACCACCACCAGGCACCGGCTGACTGACAAGGGTTAAGTTGTTTTTGTCCAGTGATTGCTTTTCTATCTCTTGGGGTGACAGGGCCGAAGTCGATAGAGCACAGGTTCTGAGATACAATCGCACAAGACACATTTAAATCCCACTAATCACTTAATGTTTGAATGACAAAGGAAAAAATTCAACATTTTGTTTGTCAGACCAAAACTAGACTTTGATAGTAAATGTAAACACAGTAATCTGACCAAAAATCTGGTGCTTTATAGGGAGATTAACACAAATAATGTGCCGAGGGACTGAATCATTCTTGGTGTGCTAAACTTGTTACTCCCTAGAACTGCAATCTTTCGCATCTTTTTTGTGAAAACAGTCAATTGCAAGTACAAAGCTAGATTCCCAGTAATGCTGCACTCAATCATGCATTTCCCTGATTCTCCTGTCAGGCGCCTACATATGAAAATAGAAAATCATGATTGAAAATTAAGATAAAGTTTTACATCACTCGATGCTTTTACAACCTGCCGCTTTTCTCGAAATCACAATTCAAGTGACTCAAAAACAACCGTGCACTGATTCCAGCAATACTTGTGTGATGTTTTCCGATAGATAATCAGCAGAAGAATAAATAAACACGAGGTATTTATTTGTCGAAGAAAACACACAATCCCCATGATAAAAAAAGAATTAATCTTCTGTTAATTTAACGGTAATTTCTTCCCTGCCAGGCACAGTCCGTTGTTCATTCTTCATTTTCTACTTGCGTTGTCTTGGCCAGTTTATTATCTTTATTTCTTTGTGTTGTAGGGACACTTATTCAGTAGATACATCCATAATACATTTGTTTTAATTAGCAAAAGATTTGGTGCAATGAAGAGTATTTTCATAGAAACATCTTTTTAAAATGACAACTCAGAAAGAACTTGGGACCATTTAAATTCAATCAGTTCAGTCAATTTTCAGTCAAATTGAGATGAAATTAATCGATTTATTACAAGGAAACAAGATTCTTATCTGTAGGAAAACTTCTTAAACCTCTAGGACTGGGGCTGGACAGCCCTGGTTGTAGCCCATCTCTTCTAACTACTCAACCACTGATGTAATTCGCATTAACAGATCTTAATTTTGAGCTGTAAAGTAAATACATTCAATAGACATGCAAGCAATGTTTTGCAGTTTTTTGCAGTCTTTGCGTATGTATCACCACACCCTGCACCACCACCCACTGCATTGCTAAAGAACTCAAGCTTACAAAACAGCTTTTCAACTAAATAGTCTGACAGATTTTGTGGTCTGTGTTAAAGTTATTTCAGCTTGCTCATTCAGTTCACAACAGATCCAGTTATTTGACGTGATTGCTTGCTCTTAAAAGACTTGAGCATGTTGCAGGAAACAAACACTTAATCAGGCCGTCGTGAAATAATTTCGGCCCTGCACTGTTATATTAGTTAGATGTTGTGGCACAGCTTGTTGTGCACATAGGTAAAAACAGGTTTAACTTAGCACTTGCTGAGAGAGTAATAATGGCCCCGTTAACTGAATCCACCAGAGGATTGTTTCATCAGACTAATGACTGAGGCCCAGTAAAGGCAGATCAATGATTACAGATGATTAGTGTTTTCCTACACTGACTATGACTTCACGCTCAATGAGTGTTTTCTACTTGCAAATTTGAAGTAATTTCCAGAGGGAAAGGAAGTTAGACTATGAAGGTCCTACGCACAGCCGCTGGAGCTGATAGGATGAGATTTAGCTGGGCCTCCATCTGTCCTCAGTCCTGGTCTGTCTCTCAACTCTCCTCAGACGACTGATGGAGCCCCAGCTCATTAACAGCTTTGTAGATTTTGCCTTGTTAAAGGACCTAATGGATGGATTTATCTCATTTGGCACCTCATTAGAGACACATTCTGTTTAACAAAAGATGTACACATGCAGAAACAGACACCCGTACGCACAACAAACTGTAAGTCTTTACTCTATGTCACAGATCAACAAAACGTAACGATTCAGATCCAATGCAATCCCAGAACGTATTTGTGATTTAACAAATACTTCACAGTGTTGTACACAGACAACTAAACTCCCACAAGAAGGGTACACAAAACACCTTAGAGAAAATGGAAAAACAGCACGGCTGGGCATGTTATTCCAAAAAACTAAATGTAACTTTAGAAAAAAATAAAAAGCCTTATTATAACAAAATACCTAAAGACCAAGACATGAACAACGAAAAAATCAACTAGGGGGTTAAGAACAAGGAGCCAGAAGCCAGTATGAGCAACACAGGAGACATGAATAGAAAAGCTTCTTAGAGCAACAGACATGAAACATACGAGGATCTGACAAAAAAAAGTGTGAACAAGGAAGCTTTTATACTGATGAGATTATCTAGTCAAGTGCATTGAGACAGCTGAGGGGAGGGAGCACAGGTAATGAGTGTTGTGTAAATTACGGGAATGGAAGAATACTGAAATGACAAAAGTAAATGACAAGAAGTGAAGTTGAGAGGTACCAAAAGGGGGGACAGGAAACTGGAATGAAATACAGGAAGTAGACTAGGCTAAAAATATTGACTTTTTGTAAAAAAGTAAAAACTAATGCTATGCTTTTTCTCGATGTGATTTTTGCATTTTTCGTTATGCATTTCTAAAGAAAAACTGGTTTAAATTTGAAACAGTGTGCAACATAATTCACTGTCAAATCCTTAAAGCTCATTCTTCTATTTTTTTTAAATTGTGAATTTATTTAATTTTACCTTTAAAATCACTCTGGTGGAGTGTGCTGTTAACAAGAGAACCTCAGAGTAATATTTCATTCTGTTAAGGCACAGCTGCAACAATTTTATTATCTTTCACAAGATGTCATACTTTAATGTGTTTGCCATAAAAATATTGAAAAGATGGAACTTTATTCAACTTTTTATTCAACAATTTTATTACAGCAATTCTAGTGACACATTTGATCCCGATAGATAAGAGGAAACACTGCTTTACAAAACAATCACGAAAAGAACAATTAAGTCAAGGAAAATAATCTCATTCTCTGAGTTCAATCCAACATTTTAAAAATTGACTCATTTAGTCAAAAGCCTTTAACCAACGGTTATGTTTGTCCACATTACCAAATGGTTGTATCCATGGTTTAAAATCAGATGGTAACATATTCCTCCACTGTTGGGAAGAGTTTGCACCTACTCTTTTCCGTAGCTCCCTAACAGTGTAGTTTTGAACTGTTAGCATTCATTGGATATAAAGAAAAAAATAATCTATTGAAAATATACATTTTTGTTATATCAATCTCCATCATATTATCTGCAATAACGGATGTCACATACTCTGACTAAACATTGAATCAAATATCAAAGCTAACAAGTAATAACAGATAATTATGCTCTTTAGCGTCTTAAATCTTTAACATTGATTACTGGGTCAAAGCTTTTACTTTTCCAGCCACTTTAAATTCAGGTGGAATTATAACCTAAAACAAAAGGTACACACCAAGGTGACAAGAATGAGACTAAAAACAGGAATTATAAGATCTTAATTGGCTGTATTAATGAGTGGTTGCACTCTCAAAATCCATAAAGGTATTGCAGTAAAACTTAAAAGCCTGCGTCAAGTTCAGACATTAGACTAGTAACACTTAACAAAAAACCTCTCAGTTACGAGAAGAGTAATTTAGAATTTTTTAAGCTTTAATTTGATTAGATACTGCTGTAATGAGAGAGCTGTTATTTTTTGGAGCAGTCTTTGCAAGCACAAATGATTTAAATCTGTTGTTTGTTGTTATTTTAACCCTACTTATAAATGAAAACCTGACAAAAGAACAAATGCAGAAACGTTTTGTGAATATTTTGCGATGCAGTTTCTTTGACATTGCTATTGCCACATCAGCAGACAAGAGCAGCTCTTTTCTGTCAAAAAGAATGTTCAGACTATTTAAGATCTCTTTTTGTGACTCAGGGAGATGGCTCTTTCAGTGTGTCTGTGTATTCAGTGTCCAAATGACAGCATGGGGACTCTGTTGGATATCTACGCTTGCCTGTCAGACAGGCTACATGTTGAGACACACAACACTGACACAGATAGATGGTTGAAACCGAATGACAGAAAAGAAAAAAAAAATCAGACTTCTGCCAATGGGATCTCCCAACAAACATCCTTAAAAGTCACTCAGCTGCATGATACCGGCGTGATGATCAAGGGAGCAGAATTTCTGCCTCCATCAGCTAAACCAGGACTGAAGAATGGAAAGAGCTTTGTGGTGAAGGTGCAGCCAGTGAAGGAGTAGATACAAGCCCTAGCATCTACATCATAAAATGAGACCTCACCACCCTCATAATGAACAAATACCCCAATCTTTTCAGGCATCTCCCTTAAGTGCAGGTTTATGGGAGGACCTGCATTAGCTGTGAATTCCTTTCCTTTTCTCAGCCAGATGGTCCAGTATCCATTCTTTGGGCTCAGGCGTATGTCCCCTTTCCGGTTGATGGACTCGCTTGCAACTCCTAAATCCCACTGTGTCTTGTTTTTAACCTGGACCTCATAGTAAAATTTTCCTGACGAGAACCCTTCCTTTGCCAGGACGTTAGGGACCTGTTCAAACCTTTGTGGTTGGTTCGTGATAAATCTCTCGTGGTTTCCATAGGTGACTTGCTTCCCGTCTTCAGAAATATTGAGACGACGATTTGCTGTGTCTGGATCGAACATCACATCTACCGCGTAGCTCTGTTTGTCTTTGAAGGTGGGATCACAAAACCTGCTTATTTCTCTTGTGATTGATGTCTCCAGCTCGGTCATGCTCGGTTGAATTGGAGACAGGTTGCTGTTCACCGTCACATCAGACCAGTCTTTCACCTCGGGTGAAAACTTTGTTAAACAACGGACATTTTGGAGAAATGAAAAGGGGTCACCTGTGTCTACAACTGCATTAAGCTCAAGGTTTTTCAATCTGATTTGCATAATTTCTTCATCCAGTTCTTTAATGAAGGCCTTTCCCTCTTTTTCAAGTTTTTTCTGTTTCATCTTGATTACTTCAGCCAGCTCAGCTTGGCTCCTCATAATGTAATCCACCATGGTAGTCATCCCATGCCCGCTGCATGACAATGCTTCCTCTGCATTATTTCTGGCCGCCTCGAGTGAGTGTTGAATCTCACAAATTTTCTGCTGACGGGCCTGGATCATCTGATCCGTGCCTTCCTTTTCTATTCCCAGCTGGGACTTTCTCATTTGAGCCTCTTCCTCTAGACCCACAGTCTTATGAGTATTATGGTCGCTGTTTTTACAGGACTCACAGAGAAACATTTCATCCACCTTGCAAAACAACTCCAAATGTTCACCGTGTATCGGGCACATCCTGCTCTCCAAGTTCTTAACTGGATGGATCAGCTTGTGTTTCTTTAAAGCTGAAATGTTCTTATGAGGCTCCAGATGTGTTTGACAGAGGGATGTAAAACACACTAAGCAGGACTTTAGGGCTGTCAGCTTTGGCTCTGTGCATCGATCACAGAGCACAATCCCACTTTCTGCTTGGTAAGTACTATTAAGAGCCTTGTTCTCAACTATCTTCTTGAACTTTTCAGCCATCTCAGCGATGACAATGTTAACTCGGATATCTGGTTTGAGGTAAAACCCTTCTTTGCACAATGGGCATTGATACAAAGTACCAACTGTATTCCAGTATTCTGTAATACAGTTAAGACAGAAGGTATGCCCACAGGGAATTGACGCAGGTTTTGTGAATACGTCCAAACAGATGGAACAGAGAAAATTGTCATCTGTCATTAGACTTGTTGCCGAAGCCATGTCTAGAAAACATGAGAAGAGACAGAGAACAGTTTAAGTCCCAAAAACTCAAACAGATCAACCTTGAGTGAAATTGACTGAAAAAACTTAGAATTTTTACTCAATATTAGTATTTTTTAAAATGGTATATTACGTACTGTGGGTAGTATTTTCTGAAGCAGAAAGTCGAACAACTTTGCCTTCCTGTTTGTGTACTTTCTGTTTCACCAGTGGCACTAGCACCTCCCACTCTCAAACCAGTTAACCCATCGTGTGCTCAGAGCACAAGCAGTGGCTTTCACTTCCTTGCAGATTGAGTTGAGTTGTTTCGAAACATGAAATATGTCCCAAATTTTGACTTCAAAGGCATGTGTATGCACTGATCTCAGTGAGTTGTGCATTATTTATGTAATTCTTTGATTGTTGGTGTATTTTGGGCCATTAGAAATCCCTTTCATGTGTTCAGTGAGCAGCAATGGATTTGAAATTGCGAGAGCACCATGCTACCTTTATAAAAGCTTTGTATGCATGCATGTGTGTACATTTGCATAACATGCTATTCCAAGGTATCTACATAATAAACTGTAAATACTGCCATATTGTCCTCCTCTGAGGAAACAATGATTTCGAACACAATAGTCCTCCTGCATCTTTGAGGTGCTTTGCGAGAGGTAAAAATATTTGTGTTTACACAAAGGGTTATGTGTGTTATGCGGGGTATGAGTCGGGGGACTGAAGGGGATTTGAATTTGCATAAAATAAAGTTTGAGCGTAACAAAAACAAGCAAGAAAAGCGTTGTACTTGTATTTACTGTATGCTTCTCTGTACTCGATTGCACAGTGGCTGTGTGAATGTGGGTACATTTGGCAGCCTTGGTTACTTAACTCATTGACATCCTAAATCAAAACATTTATTTTCAATAAAGTTGTGAAATACCAGGTTTTAGATACCATAAACATTCAAATGACATTTGGCTCTAAGAGATATTTCCCTCTATCCAGGTCTTTATGGAGTTCAAAAACTCTTTTCTTATCCTCTGCAATATGGGTTCACCATTGGATGACACGAAATCAGTGCTTCTCTCCACACATCTTTTTCTCCTCTCTCTTCTTCTGTCTCTTATTCACAACCACTTTTTTTTTAAACATTGAGAGCATATATTGTCTTATCACAAATGACAAAATCATTAGTGCGTTAGGAGAGGAGGTAAATCTAAACAAGTCCACATGTGGCACATGTGGTATTACAAAAAGGCAAAAACGTTTTGTTTAAGATGATAATACCCCTTAAAGACTGCATTGCAGCACAGGGAGCAGAGATGAGTATGACATAAAACTGCTAAAACGGCAGTTCTGTCAAAGCTGTAAGCCTAACCTAGGTATGACATGACATTAGTGCCCTGATATTTTAAATCGAGGCAAACTTTGCCTAATCTGTAGACAATAATATAACCAATACTGGTTTCCTTTTTCCTCTTTCGCCTTAGACACTGCAGTTCAAATTCAAAAGAATTCAGAAAAAAAGTGTATTTTTCAAACCACTACAGACTACACTTTTGGGAGGTGGGGTGCACATTTAGTCATGAGATCAGATTATCTTTTCATCCACCAGCCCAAGGAACATGGCTGCCATGTGAGAACTGAAGCCAAATGATAGTCCTCTCCCTCCAGTGTTTGTCTTAGTTTGTGTGGTGAAAGGATGACTTTGTAACAAACAAAAAGCTTGTAGGGATGAGTGCATCTTTGAGGTGTTCATTTAAAAACAATGCTCGATACATCAGAGAGTCACGTAGAGACAGCAGGCTACTTCAACTTTTCATCAAAAATGCCTGGAGATGAGGAAACATCAAACAGAAACCGAAAGTTCAATTCACAATGCAAACTTTTGTGAGTTGGCTCATGCCATGTCTCATCTATACCAAAAACGCTCTCCTTTCAGACTTCTAACTACATGAATACTGAATTCCCATCTCAGTGGATGTACAAAAATTAGGTTGGTTTTGGAAAATGTTTTCGGGACAATTTTGTTATTTTTTTATTTGCCAAACTTCGAAAAAACTCAGAAATGTTAATGTGGCTTTAATGCATTGAAATTAAGTCAAATTTTCTTACAGCAGGGCCTGGAGAGTTAAATGATCGACATACATGTTTTAAAATAAGAGCCTTTAAGCTATTATCTTTATTCCATTCATTAAACTGTTGAGACTGTTGGATTTACACCATCATGTGCGATAGAGGACTTTGTCTCCTGGAGTCTGCTCCAGCTGATGAATTGTTAGTTAAGCTCAGTGTACGTGACTGGAAATTTGACAAGGATTGAATGATTCATCGCGTTTGATGTGATGGAGCTCAAAATCTCCTTTATGTTAATTGCTCATGGTGAAAGGGAAAGCAAAAAACTTTCTAATGCTCTAATTTCAAGCAGGCTACAAATGTGAAGTTGTTTTGGTACGTTTTTTCATTAGGGTCCATTTCTTATCTCACACAGTGGCAGTAGCTTCTTGATCAGGCATCATTAAGCACAACAGAAAGAAATTGAACAGAAACCTCTGATGGCTATGACAACGATAATATAAAGGCTATATATCGATATCCCACCTAATTTTCCCACTTTTTGCTATTCTTTTTCAACCACTTTTACATTCAGTGTTTACAATAACAATGATAACCAATTTATGAACATTTCTTATGTCATTGTAACAAGTCCCTTATTAAACTAAATAAAATATTATTAACTTTTGATTGTGATCATTTTTCATTTGGACTATGGATATTCCGTAAAATGTTTGTAAATATTTAAATGAAATGTACTCTGAAGCACAAAAACTCCTTTTAGAATATGCTTCAATGATAAACAGTAGACCAAATTAAAGATAAATACTGTGTGGTTGTGCAGTTTCTTAGAAATGAATAACAGAGTTTGCCTGGTTTTGGAAAATATGCTCAGTGATTGCAGTAGTTTGGAGCTCAAAAAGCACATTTTGGATGATTGAATGAAAGGAGCCAAGAGTGGCCACAATTTCTGACACAAATGGTAAGTTTTTGTTTTGTTCTATATCTTTCCTTTGTCAGCTGCCATAACCATATTTCTCAAACTGTTCCTCATCTCTTTTTTCCCCATACATTTCTTTTTATTTCAGTTGGTCTCTACAGATACTGCCACATTTAATGACTCATAGCTGCAGCCTTCCCTTAGCTGTCACAGAGGGACTTTTAACAAGGTCCTCCACCTCCTTTGCTCTTTCCTCCTCATTTTACCATGCTGCCACTTTCCCCTCGTAATTTGGCCTTTCTCTAAGGGTACAATGTACAGGTGTCTGACTAAAGCAAAGGCAAAAGGAAAAGTGGTTACAGTCCTTTTGCTTTTATTTGATAGAAACCAGCACATTTCTCAGTCAGCTTCAGTCCTTTGTTAAGACAGACTGTCCTGAATGTCAATTCACTTGATGTACAGGCCAATAAAGTCCTCTAGTGAATAAGAACGGTAATATAAAAATAACTACCAAATGCAATGCAGCCCCCCATCTTTCCAACCCATATTTGATCTATTAAAGCATGAGCCTGGTCTGCCTAGTCTCATGAAAAGAAAAAGAAAACATAGGTATTGCAGGCCAATTAATTTGTAATTGTAATTTTGTGCATCATTTGATGCAATGGGGTATTATAGGATGACATCCTACCTTATATTTCTTCATTTCAACCTCTTACTGTACCATTCAGCATGAGATTCCGGCGGTGAAAAGCCTAAAACAAAAGTACCTGAGATAACTCAAAATGTCAGTGTCTGGCAATGCCCATAGTTTATTTTAAAGTAAAATCTGTTTTGGGAAGGTTTGGAACTCATTTTTATGTGACTCATATTTTGAGGAAAAATGATTTATTTTAGGATGCAAACCATTTGTAAAAACAAGGATTATTCATTCAACAGAACAACAATGCTGACGGTTTGTTGGCGATAAATCGTGTAACCCTAAACTGTACTGAGGTAAAAGATGACACTATATATAAGATGTGCTTATGGAAGTTTTCTCCTTCTATGCCTATGTCACTTATTGCACAAAAGAAGCTGAGCTCTTTGGTCACACAGGCACACCTTGAACAATAAAGTCGTCTCACGCTTGAGGAGATCTCATTATTCCTCTGTTCAACAAAATCTGTCAGTATGGAGACAGCAAGAGCAATCACTCAAATAACTGTTGAACAAGCCAAGAATAAATTTGAAGGAATACAAACCGCTCTCCCACAGTCAGTCTGCCGATCTTCTTCCATAGCTCATGACTACTGTGCAGCCATACAGCACACCTTAAGCTAGTGATGACTTGTAATGATGAACAGCTACATTTCATGGCTGAGCCTAATGAGCCACCTGCCTTAAACCTAAAATCCAATAAACTCTGGCTGACCACTATCATTTTGTCATTAAGTTGGAATCAACATTCAGAAAAGTAACATGGCAAAACAATGTATATGAACAACATATTCTTGATTTTAGAGTGATAAAAGGATCGCTAAACTTTAGTCTTGCAATACAAATACTGTTCTCACTTTGACAGTATAAAACTTGGGCACAT